ATTCTTTCTCTAGGACATGACTCTTAGAGAAACATGGCTTTCTCAGAATTATAGTGGGAGTGATAGTGTGCATTGTACTGTTCATTTTTAATAGCCACAGTGAAAATACTAGCAAAAGATTTTTATGGTTACTTTAAAATGTGAATAAAATCAATCCAGAGAAAGGGATTTTTATGGAATTAATGAAAGAATGGTGATTTAGAAATATATTCATAATTACAATGCAGGGTGTATTCTAAATCAATGAGGAGCAATGTATGAGGATTGAAATTTAAAATGCAGTGGAGTATATTAAATTGGAAGTTATATACATGATGCATTTCTGGAGAAATATAAGAGAATCAGATTAGGCAAATGATTGCACAGTACATAAAAGTTTAATATTTATATTGTGATATTTACTGAGTTTTGAAAATTTATTTCATCCCTATTCTGGATGAATAAACTAGATTTTATTTTTTTTAATTTTTAGAGTCCAATTTCACTTTTATAATTGGAACCATTCAAATAGTGTTTTGAATACAACTCATTGCTCAAGCAATGTTGTACATCATGGGGTCATTTTGAACAGTTTATTAGTGATCATTCCCAGTGCTTGAAAAAATATCCGACAACCCCAACTTAAAAGAGGAGAGATTTAGTTCTCCTCTAGTTTTATTTTTTTTTTTTTTTTTTTTTTTTTTTTTTGTACCAGTGATCGAAATCGGGTCTTTGAGCTTGAGAAGTAGGCAGAGGAACCACTGAGCTAAATGCCTGGCCCTTTCTCAAGTTTTAAAGAGTTATCTGGCTCCACAACAGAGCATCATGGGGGAAGGATGTAGTGGACCAAACCTGCTTAGTTCAAGATGGTGAAGAAGCAGGGCAGGGAGACAGTGTCAGGCAGGAAGGACCAAAGACCAGTCACAGACCTTCCAGCCACACTTCCCTGACTTGCCAAACCACTCGCAAAAGTACTGTCTTCCAATACCCTGGTCTCATCTCAAAGACAGTCACACTGACATGCTCCCTACCAACCACAGAAAGTATAGACAAAAGATGTCACTCATTATACAGAGCTAAAGCACAGATTCCTGGAAGCCATTTAGGCATACACGTATCCCAATTTTTAAGCTTGCTTCTGTCATATTTTGCTCTAAACATTTGGGCTTCTTACTGCTTTTAAGTAGGAGTGGTGAGTGCCTACTTCTATGTTTTGTTTCAGTATGTATGCATGGTTTTAAAAGAATTTGTTATAAAATGCTCTAATGTATTTTTTCAAGAAGTTTGTCTTCCTAATATAATGGTGGCCTGCTTAAATGCAAAGTTTATAATGTTTCTATTATAACTTTCCACTAAAAGACTTTTCCTAGTTTATAGCGTACATAAGACAAAGCCAATGCTTTCTGAATCTTTCATGATAATTGATTCAAAATATAGAATGTAAGAATGTGAAAATGAAATTAAGAATGCTATATTAACTTTCATCATAGAGAAAAGATTATTGAACATTAACAATAAAGAGAAAATGCTTAATCCCATCATGGCTGATTAGAGCTACTAGCATTAACAAGTGGCTCAGACATTGTTTGCTAGGATCCTCAACAACTCACAAATAGGGAAATTGGAAAAACCTAAACACAGCAAGGCAACTCAAAGCAGAAGCCTACAAGATGATATACAATATCAGCTCTGTTTAGAGAAAAATTCAGGGTTATCTCTCAAGCCTAGCAAGGCTTACCATTTATGTCCCATGACTACATCATCTTGGGAAGCCATCTAACTCCTAGAGGGAGCAAACTGAGTACAAGAATAGTACTTTTGCTGCTGTATTCGGCACTCATTTGAGCCATTGGTGACTTGTGCCCACCTGGTCTACCTCTCTTCCCATTCTGAAATAAACTCAGTTAGTGATATATTCATAGGTGATGGTCCCACTAAACTGGGGCACTAAGAATAGTGCAAGTAGAAAATTGACCCAAAGGTGGGGATTGAATTAGGACCAGACATCTCTTGGGACAAAAATTAGTATAGCCATGGCTCTGAATAGGGACCCAGAACCAGAGAGGTGCGTAGCTTTTGGGGCTAGTATGATGGGGAGGTGGAGAGGGGTCAATGGAGCAGTGCCTGAGTGGGCACATCACACAACAGTCTCAAATGCTGCTATGCTGTGTTTTTCATTTGTTTGTTTGTTTGTCTTAGTTACTTTTGTCTTATTGCTGAGACCAAATACCTGACCCCCAAAAGTTTATAGAGGTTTTAGTCCATAGTTGGCTGGCTCCAGGGCAGGGTGGCACATGGGAGAGTGATGTCATAGAGAAGAAATAGTCCATTGCACACAGAAGAGAGCAAAGCAACAGGGGGTCTTAAAGGGATATTTCTGCCTCTTTCATCCAGACTACATAGGGTGGACAGCACTCACACCCTTAATCCTAGTGCCCCTGAGCCTAGCATTGTGCCATAAATCAATTCTACTGTCACACACTGTAGATCCAGCCACCTCTGAAAAAGCCCTATCTATGACTTCATAAGGCTTTTTGGAGACACCTAAACAAACTATGACAGTTTTGAACTTTTAATAAAAGTAAAATAATGTAATATAATGTTGAAAACATTATGAATATTAATCTCACTAGATGTTCAAATCTGGTATTGTGCAAATTTTTCACATACTATTTTACATTTTTACAAACTCAAATCACTTTGGCTCAATATATCTACTATAAACTATTAGCAAAAAATTTTCTTCAGATTCACATTTTTAGCTACATTTTTCTAATAGATATAGATTTACTTCCAGAATAAGAGAAAAAAACACATATTGTTTGTCCATGATCAAATTTATTTGAAAGGTTCACATACTGCTTTCAACAATCTCTAGTTTTCACAATAGAATGACATGTTCACTGAAAAATGTTTTCACATAACTGACCATCTGTTTTCGTTTTCAGAAAACGTGTAAGGGATCATCCCAAAGTTCAGGACAATCCATTTGCTTTTAAACAAAATTTTCTAAACAAATTAGCTTCAGAAACCTACAATTTACTCTAAGACATTTTCCTCAAAATGAAATAAACAAAGCCACCCTCACATAAATGAAACCACACAGATCTCAGTGCTGGCAGTCAGGCAGTTCTCATTTCTGCCCTGCTGACCCCTGACTTCTGTTTCAAAGGAGTCTTTGCATCCATTTAAAATGAACCAGATGGTTCCGTGGCCTGCCTTGCAAGCACAAGGACCTAAGTTCAATACCCAGTACAAAAAATTAATAATAATAACAATTAATAATAATAATAATAATAAAGTGAACCAGAAACATTTAAATTCCAAAAGAAAAAAAGGTAAATTTGTAAGTGAATATTACTAAATGCGCAAAACTGCAGTATGTCAAAGGACTTGGGCTCAGTGGAGGGTCTGACAGTGGAGGAACTTCAAGAAATATTATTGAACTCCGCCTCTCTGTGACACTTGAATGATGAACTCTTCTCTGGAGCATCTCAGACATTAAAAACATATTTAGAGAATACAAGGCTTATACTGGCTTTTGTCCACATTGCACTTGAAGTTTAAGATTGAATACCTGTGGGTGAAGGAAGGGCAGGGACAAGGGAAAAAATGAGAACCAAGACCTGTCATGTAAAGGTACGAGATCCCAGTAATGAATGTAACTGTACTGTCTACCTAGAATGTACCAATAAACTCAGTAAAAAGGAAAAATGACATACACACTTTTCTTTTTATACAGCAATCACAGATTGCAAGTTCCAATGTGCTGTGGAAAAAATAGTCCTCTCTACTCTAGAAACAGAGAAAAAACTTTGGCTCACTGAGACCAAAATGCATGGCAGACAGTTATCCACTGATTGGAGATTTCGGATAAAATGTCACAAGCTGAGGTTAAGGTTCCATGATCATCACAGTGTAGTCTTATGACTTCTCATTGTCTTTTGTTCTCATAAGATTGGCTACACAAAGTCCCATGGGGAAGAATGCGAAGTGTGGCCTGCTCCCTGGTGACATGCACTTGTCTGTGACTGAGTGGCTGGCACTCTGCCACCACAGCATGACCATGAGTTGCCACAGTGTGACCAACCCCCTTGAAGAGCCACCTGCACTGTTGCTCTCACTTTTTCCTTCTTTTTCTACACAACTCTATTTTTAAAATCTTTTGGATAAATATTCCTGTTACACTATACTTCATTTCTTTAACTTAACATACTATCAACCTATTTCCTTGGGCACTGATACAAAACTGAGAGCTGGTAATTACATTTTAGTTGAAGGATTTAAAATATGGCAACTTGTTTTTAATAACAGGAATGTGGCATAATACTTGGGAGACTGTCTCCACCAGGTGCCCCCACACAGCCGGGGACAGGGCGCTCTGGGGCACAGGCTGGCATAGCATGCTCAGACACAGTAAGATTCAAGGTAAACACTGTCTCTACTTTGCTATTCTAGACTTCTAGGTGTCCATTTCTTACTGAGTCATGTGTGACTGAGACATTTCTTCCTGAGTCTCCCAAATAGTCTAAAAATCATCTTCATCAAAATCCACTGCCCCGGAATTTCTTCCCAAATCTTGTTTCTTATTCTTCAGAATCAGTGGGTTTGAAAGCTCATTTGTTTATGAGGCTTTATAGGAACACCCACGACTGACTGTCATCCTGTATTTCTGTGATACCTCCTGAAGAAAATACACATGTCAGCCATGAACAAATATAGAGAAAATCCAAGGATGTGTATTGATAGACACCATTATATACGAGGAACTGGGTGATATGTTGCCAGGAAGGCTATGGTGATGGCAAGCCCAAGGGCTCTTCTGAATTGATCAAATGTCCATAAAGATCACGGACAGCTGAACATTATTAGCAAAATCCAGTTTAGCACTGGTGTGCTTTAATGGCAACAAAAACTGCTCTACAGCACATGTTGGACCACTCCCTCGTGAACTGTGACTGTCCATATAGGGGTATAGTATGGTGACAACACCAGCTGTCCCGCAGCACAGCGACACTCACCAGGCCACAGAGAGGATGGTGACCATCACCTCGGCCAGCATGACATTCCTCTGGATCTGTAGCAGTTTGAGCACCAGGGCTAGGAAGATCCCGACCAAGAAAAGTATGAGGCTCCTCTGCACCAAGTCGTAGTGCCGGCTGCTGGCCCGCAGGCCCAGGTTGCAGGGCCAGAGCAGTGGGCACAGGGGTGGCCACGATGCTTGGCCCCTGGGTGGAGCGGACTGGCTGGATGCTCGGTTGCGAAGCTGTGCAGGAACAGTTCCACAAGCGGTCATACAACCTTGGCGTCTGTGCATCCTTAGCCGAGGGTCTTATGGACAGCAGAGATGTGCAGAGCTCTCCTCTGAGGGACTGAGCCATGAACCACCCCTATCCTCCACCGGTCCCCACTCCCCGCCGCCTCTCCCCAGAGCCGCGTACCTGCGGAGGGGCGCCCCCTGGCTGCCGGAGGTAGAGGACGAGGAAGAAGCGGCATGCTGTCTGCCCCAAGCGAGGCCCTGCTGCCCTCTTGGTCCATTTGGTATCCACCTGCCACTCATCTTCCCAATGCCAAAGATCTCGGCTCCTCTGTTGAATTCATCAGGCACTCACCAAAGGCTGTTGCGCTCAGCTCTCTCCAATTGGCCTCAAGATGCTTTCTAGTTATGAACAGAAGTTTCCTCTCCTGCTGACGTAGACTATTTGGTCTGAATGAAAATTCTATGACAGGTACAGAGAGTTTTGCACCACCAAAGAGCCGGATCGCAGCAGTGTGATTTGTAGGGTTTGCGTGATGTGCCGCCGTGCCCAGACAAGATGATGGGTACAGATATGCACAGTTGCAGGCCATGTTATGGAGGGAAGGGGCAGAGATCAAAGAAGATCTCCAGAGATCTACAGAGGATGGTGATTGACTAGCCAACAACAGAATTGAAGG